GACGAGGAGAAGGGAGTAGTAGGTTATCTGGTTACTAGCGTGTATACATACAGACGAGGAGAAGGGAGCAGAAGGTTATCGGGTTACTAGCGTGTATACATACAGACGAGGAGAAGGGCGTATTAGGTTATCGAGTTTCTAGCGTGTATACAAACAGACGAGGAAAAGGGAATGTTAGGTTAGCAGGTTACTAGCGTGTATACATACAGACGAGGAAAAGGGAGAAGTAGGTTATCAGGTTTCTAGCGTGTATACATACAGACGAGGAAAAGGGAATGTTATGCTAACAGGTTTCTAGCGTGTATACAATTGTCTCCTCGTTTTGAGATGGACACTGATGCTCTCAGACGGATAAATCATTGAATTAGCAACAAGAATACTTATTCGGTGATTGTTTGTGATTAAATCCTCAGATAAGCTTGAATCTGACAGGACGATATTGTAGAGCTTTGTAAGATTTCGGAGCTAGAACGATCGTCGTACTCTCCAAGAACTACTGTAATGTTAGTCCGATATTGATCAGTTTTACACGAATACAAACTTGTTTACAAATCTTGTATTTTTTACGCTATGATGGCGCGATTATTTTCTCCTAAAAGTACATTAGATACTTATTATGAAGTACCATGAAGCAAATTCCTCTGTTTATTGAAAATCCTGATTCTACGCTACATACAGAAACTCTGAGAGGAAAAAACAAATATATATAAATTAACCGATTTTGTAAAATAAATTAATAGTTACCTACTATAATCTCTGTTAAGTGACCAAGGATATAGACGTGCGTGGGGGAGTGTGTTTGCCACTGATTAAAAAAAAGATCCAGCCAAAATGGATTTTTTCCAGTTAACCATGAATAATTTAATCGTGGCGGTTCAATTTTCTTGAGAGGAAGGGCCCCAGGCTTACTGCGTGGTGCTGTATCCGCGTGCGGATTTTGTAATTTGTTTTCATCGTAGAGTTGCGATCTTGCAAACAAATTTGTTTAGATAATATTGATAAATACGGCAGGTGGGCACAAAATAAATTTATTTTCGATTATTTCGGGAGGAATTTATAAATTGAAAACTAAAAAATATTCTGCAAAGCACTCAGATTTAGCGGGCTATTTATTTTTGCAATGTAATTTTATTGCAAATATCTTTATTTTAGTATTTTAACGATAACTGTAAATAACGTTATTATTGCTTTCTGAAAAATCAAATCCTTACGAATAAAAACGTTTGCGAAAATCAATATCCATCAAGTTAAGCTGGTCTGAAGTACAATGTATTGTCAGAAGCTTGATTTAGTTTTATTCGGTGAAACGTCCATTAACTGCTAATGTTAGTTAAGGACGTGCATCCATGTGGGTATTTCCGGACTGCATATGTATTTGTGCTGGATGCGGTATGTTGGGGTCTTTACCTCCTTGCGATAGTGCAGATCTGATTCCGATTTTTAAAGTGATGCCTCACTGAAATACCATACCCAAGGCACCCAGCAGAGCATTCCACATGGCCACATTACACTTACAACGGGTTAAACAGTATACATCCTCGATATCCAGGGGTTACGCTCACTTTCGCTCTCTACACCCCTGGAATATGTCATAGCAAAATTGAAGGCACCACGAAAGCTGTTTGATTGGTCTCAGGTAAAACCAACTAACCAATCGCTAGGCTGATACCTGGCCTTTTAAGATTACAAAGGAGAGACGCCCAACTTCAAAGCCTGTGAATTTTTACCGTTACCTGACCGCTTGATTCTTTTGATGTATATCAAAGGATCGAACTAGTCTTCTTGTCTCATCAACAAGGTGGCGCACACTGAGCCTTCAATTTTGCTATGACATATTCCAGGGGTGCAGAGAGCGAAAGTGAGCGTAACCACTGGATATCGAGGATACACTGACGGTTATTTCTAAGGACAATGGATTGTCCCGGCCTGATTTTGGCAAACGTTCAACAATAAGGCGACGGAAAAAAACGTTGAAAGGTTGATAGAAAATTTTAAGATTCCAAATCTGGCAATGGTTGCAGTAGATTTATTTTTGTCGCTTTTGTGTTCCGAAGTAGGAGGCACAGAATTAGATCACCAACTATGCAGGGGTTCCCGCATTAGTTGCCTCTCACAACGTCGGACGCTGGGTAACACTAGATACGTCAAAACTTGTACTCGAAGCTGCAATGGAGTTAGGCAACAACGATGGGTCCTCATCATATTAAATACATATTAGGACAAAGTAAAGGAGAAATAAGTGTAAATAAGAAGTAGAGAAGTGTACCACAGGAAAATGCAAGCACCAACGCAAGATACATTTTCATTGCGTGTAGCAGAGGTATTGTCATGACCAAGATCGAGAGAAATGTTACCGCCTCATTGTGATCAAAAATCTTACATCTTACGTTCTCGTTTTACATGTACACTTTCGGCTTTTAAATGTTCGGTGTTTGGTTACACTTATACTTCAGACCCATACCAATGGATTCATCTTACTTACTCCTAACTGTTTGTCTGCTCTATTGATTATATAAGACGAATCTTTAGCCCAAAAAACTGAGCAATGCTTGTAATGTTTGCCCAGAATAGGTAGAAGACCAGCATCAACTTTAGAGAAATTATACTTAAGACTTTCAGTAAATAGGTGGTCGTTAGACAACCTACACAGTTGCCAACTTCCCTGGTCATACTTAACGATCTTCACTAACGGACAAAAGGCCAAACTCAAACTTGAAGTACTTTTTCATACAAACAATCCCCCTGAAATGGTCTCCCTATGACACGGAGAGAACTGATATAAATTCCATGAACCGTGAATATCGGTAAGTGACACGGGAAGGCTATGGTTGAAGATATCATGATTTTTGGTTTAACAGTACTATGTATAAGGTGGTGGGTTATCGGATGAGGCGACTAATGTGGGAATCCCTGCAGAAAAGGAGGATTTCTTCTTTGTCTTCCGTTAAGGGTACAATGAAGAAATCAAAACCGATCAGTTGCCCCGATTGCAACATTCATCTTTTCTATTTTCTCGTCTCAACTCCGTTTGCGCTAACGAACACTGGCAAAAATAATGTTAATCAAAGTGTACACGACATCCAAGAAATGAAGGTTTGGGAACGGACTGAGTTGACAGGAATGCTCCTTCCTGGAAATCCTGCAGTGACGACAAAAAAGAACCAGGCCTGATTGCAGACTTCCATCACGATGTTCTTGATGAAGGATAGGGAATATATTTAATATATAGTGTGATCTGTCAACACACAGTAGGTACAGGATAAAAAGAGTGGATTTTTTTGGTCACGTTACTTAAAACAAATAGTCCATAGCGCCCTAGGAATGACCTTTGTTTTGTAAGAAATATCAAGTAGCCTTTCCCTTGAGGATGCCTGTGCCACTCTGGTTTTTCGTATAAACAGTAACCTCTCTTTATTCGGTTTGTTTTGTATAGTTTTGCTTACACATTTCTGTTGACCAACTAGCTCAGTCGGTTAAAGTGACAGTACAATAATCTGAGGTCCTGGGTTCGAACCTGTCTAGCCCTGTTGAGGTTTTTACACTCAGAACACTGTTGTTGATTATATTTTATTTATTTCACCGTTATTGTTTTTCATAATATGCCTGCAAGGTTAAGTGGGGTTTTTCCAGAATATAATTTTTCAAAGCTAAAATGCATGGTGGGAAAACGGTTTCAAATGCATAGTTAGATGCATGTCATTCATGCCATGTATATCGTTACTTATAAATATTATAAATACATTTTAAACCAAATGCATAGTTACAGGTTTTGGTAGTTGCGCGGAGAACCTTAATTACTGTATACATTTACATCGTCGTTACATACATAAAAGAAGTAAAATGCTCATTGCTTTTTGATTGTATATATATGTACTGTGATGTTATGTTGTGTGTTGTGGTTTAGATGGCATGGATAGATCAGAGAACACATGTGTATCAGCAATGACACTACTCTGTATTTATTCTCACTTCCGGTTACATACATATTACGGATTGGCATAATCTATAGGAATTCCAGTAACGGAACGATACTACATCTCTCCCCTTTTTAGAGTTGGAATTATTAAGAGATCTTATAGATAACAATTGCAATTTACAATCTGACAATTAAATTTAAGACTAGATATATATGAATTGATTAGAACAATGTTTATGATCAATGTCTGTATTAAGCAATGTCTGTATACGTACTATGCAGTACCCAATAAACTTCAAAACTTTCAACATTGTATCTGACTGTTTTTTTCTTTTCACTCATAGTGTATTACCAATTAGAAACGGATTTCAGTTATCACTGACAAGACTCAGAAGTCTTAACGACCAGCGGGGATTATTATGCCCCTAGCACAGCATGGCCATTTTTAAAACAATACATGATCTTTGAATCTGGAGTTGGGTTTCTTCTCCCTTGTGCTCCTTCTAGGTTGACTGTTCTGACCATGACCTTGACCGGTTTTGGTTCGGGTTGGCACAATCTGTTGTGACATGTTAGACCTTTCATATTTCCTTTCAAGCGACTCTGGTGATTCCACAGACGGCCACGGAATCTCATCTTCCACAGATTCGGTGACATCCACATACACTTTTCCTTTGAGACCCTCATTTACTTTTTTTCATCCGCGATGAGTTCCTGGTCACGTTTTTCCTGTAACCGTTAAAATCGGACCTTTTTTTATAAATCGTCTCGGGTTTTGGCTTATATGTGGGTGAAAGATTATTTCCTTTGTCGTCATTTCTGACTAGCACCGTATCACCAACAGATATCTCCTTACTGTTGTTACAATGCCTTTCACCAGCGTAAGATTTCATAGCAAATTTCTTGTCACTGTCTCTTTCTCTCACAGCGACACCTGTCGCTGATGTTTTCAACAGTTCATAGATGCGCATACTGGGAAGTTTTGTCTTTGGTTCGCGACCGAACATCAGACAGTAAGGCGTTTGTCCTGTAGTATCGTGTTGCGTGGCACGATACTGACGTAGAAATTTGTATATTTCCTTTTCTAATTCCTGTTTTCAAGGGTAGCAGCGCGTACCACTTTCATGAGTGGCTTACTGAAAGCCTCAGCCTGAGCATTGGCCCTAGGACACCGTGGAGTCACTCTTCTCTGATCGAACCCCATGCTTTCAGCATACCGCCGGAATTGTTCAGAGTTAAAGGGACTTCCGTTGTCACTCTTCACTATCTTAGGTGGTCCAAACAAACTAAGTACCTTATCGAGTACCGGAATTGTCATATTTGCCGACACAGAGCGTGTTATCTCTATTACCGGGTAGCGTGAGTATTCGTCTATGATGACCAATAAATACTCCCCTGTTGGTAAAGGTCCACAAAAATCCATACTAATGTTCTCCCGGGGTCCTGTGGGAAGTTCTGACATTTTCAGTGGTTCCATGCTTTTCTTTTCTGGTGTGAGGATTTGCCAGACCATACAATCCTTAATTACTGTCTCCACTCTGGTATCGATTTCAGGGAACCACACCTTTGATCGATGGGATGTCTTGGTTTTAGCGATATTCTGGTAGGGCACCAGGGGTTCATGTGCAACACTTAATGCGGACTACCCTTAATGCTGTCAACTCTTCCATGTCATACTTATCATCAGATCCCAGCTGTTTCATTTCATACCACCTCTCTCTGTTCTAATATACTCTATAGCCTTTTGAAGAGTGGGACTTCCAAGAGTTGCTTCCCTTATCTCATCGAGTGGTATAGTCTTTGGTACAGCCTCAGTCATGATGAAGTTTACATACTCCTCAGCTATCTTTTGTTACTGTGAACTTTGTTTCAAAGGTCTGCCTTTTAGTGAGTGTCTTGACATGTAATTAGCTATATTGCTATCACCAGGCTCATACTTCATTGAAAACTTATATGGTTGTAACCGTAGACTTCATCGCTCAATCCGGAGAATTGACAGCTTGGTCTTTTGCCAGAGGTTCTCAAGTGGTTTATGATCAGTGATCACAGTGAAATTTGACAGTCCTCGTAGATATAGGTCAAAGTGTTCGCAAGCCCACACAACTGCAAGCGCTTCTCGCTCTATCTGACTGTATCGCGACTCAACAGAAGTAAGAGCGCGACTCGCGTAACATACTATTTTATCATGTACTAATACCGCTCCCAATCCAGTTGGACTGGCATCCACTCGGACCTCCACTGGCTTGTCTGGATTATAATATGCCATGACTGTGTCACTAGATAGGCTACGTTATAGTTCAACAAAGACTTTCTCATGCTTCTCATTCCAAATCCATGGTGCATCTTTGTGTGTAAGCTCTCTCAGTGGTTCACAGATATCAGCATATCCTTTAACGAATCTTGCACAATAATTCGCCATCCCCAGGAAGCTCCGCAGCTCCTTAACATTCTGAGGTTTCTCAAATTCATCTACGGCTCACACTTTCTCAGTGTCGGGCGACATACCTTGTGCTCCAAATACTACACCAAAGAATGTTATTTTGTCCTTTCTGAATTCATACTTTGGACCATTTAAAGTTAGACCACTGTCACTCAGCATTTGAAGTACTTTCTGTAGAGCTATATCATGCTCCTTCCTGTTCCGACCATACACAAGAATATCGTCTGAGATGTTCCGTGCTCCTTCAATGTTCTCTATTACTTGGCGTATGGCTTCCTGAAATATCTCAGAGGCTGCATATATATGTACCGAAATTGAGCCTCTTATATCTGTATATGTCCATGTGCGTGTTGAATGTTGTGATGTATCGTGACTAGGGCTCCAGCTCAAGTTGATGATAGCCACTACGCAGATCCAATTTACTGAATACTTCTGAACCATTCAAGTACACAATGAGCTCTTCAATAGTAGGTAGAGTGTGTCGTTCCCTACATATGGCTTTGTTGGCCTCCCTCATATCTATGCATAATCTAATTTCATCAGAATTCTTTTTGTCACAATAGGATATATCCAAGGAGTGGGCTCACCATTAACCTTCTCAATAATATCCTGTTGTACCAACTTGTCAATTTCAGCCTTGACTTTATCCCGCAAGTGGAACGGCGTTTTCCTTGATCTCTGTGCTACATGAGGCACATCTGGGTGCAAAGTTAGTGGTTACGGTCACATTTCATAAGGCTGCCTAATACAGATAGGTGCCGAGACGCTCTTTACGTCACTTAACGTGTCAGCCAAAATCCTATTTGTATGGTGTTACTTCCTATTGACAATATGTGTCATTTTTGACGAATTCTTCGACATTTATACAGTCAAGTAGATGTAAGTATAAAAAGGTGCATTAGTTTTCATTGAGGGGGCGTCTCAAAAGCTACTTACGGTATGTAATTACAAAAGGTCAGCTATGTAAATGGGAACTAAATAGGATTGACGTTTAAGACACAAACAACGAGTTTTCATACCATTGTTTTACTCGGACACTGATATCATATCAAATTCATAAATAACGGTTGGTATACTCAGTATGACAGCAAAACCGTAGATTTTTTGAATTAACATACATTTTTTGGATACATATGGTTATTTAAAAGGTTATGATAGGAAACCGTGCAAATAATAAGCAAAACTTACTTAAAAATATAAAGTATTTTTTATAATACAGGTCCTAAAACAAGTATTCTTCGTAGATATAAAATATATAATTACATTTTTAACCAATCATTTGTGTCAAGAGCAATTTCATTCCCTTGCTTGAGTAGCTACACGTCGTGGAAACTTCCGGGACGAGCGATACGGCGACTTCCTTTACCTGTCCGGTGTGTAGGACATCAAATCACCCTGTCGACAAATCTGAGGACACGGAAAACTGGGTGAACCAACCAACAGAGCCATATCAATGTAAACCCTGACTAACCAAGAGTATCATGACACCAGCACACTTTTGGTGCGGAACGAACAAGTCATTTTTCCGCCATTACGGACGGACGGACTCCAAAATGTCTGTCCATCGAAAGTGTCCTCTTTCACTTCTAACATATATAACAAATACAAATCAGTCGTAACGGACGGAAGGACTCATGACTTGCAATCTATTATTATTATAAATTATAATTGTTGTTTATATAATCATTTAGAGCTAAAGGTATATATGCAGGTTCTTTTCTTCCTTTTAATTAAAAGTTTCATTTCAGATTGGTATATTTTTTTTTTTGCATACGAATAAATATAACTGGAACGTAGTGGCATTGCTATGTGCTATCGGTGTATATACGTAGGTATATTAAATTGAGTTGATTCACTGTCGTCCTGATCTTATATAAATAATTTGAAATAAATAACAACAAAAGTTTGAAGTTTTATTTTGCCGTTTTACGTCAATTACAGTACATTTTTAGACAAATTTATACTTGATGTTACAATATGATAACTTACGGTATCTATTTAAGTATTATTTTACTGTTGCACAATTGCAAAATTAGATTTTACTCCTTGTCCTTAAAAACTTTGCATGTTATTTCATAAATTGGGACTACATTTGACCAATAAAAACATCGTTACCATAATTTTAAAACATAACTTCGACACGTGATATTCTTATCAAGTATCCCCCCTCCCCTTATTTTGAGATGACGTTACATTTGCGGACTTACTGTTTATAATAGAATAAAGAAATAATGATAATTGAAGAGATAATATCTAAGTTAATGTTAATACTTAATAATAAAAAAACCACCATTTCCTTTCCTAATAATAGTATGAAGGCAATACCGGGCATTACATATCCGGATCTATCAGAATCTGAATGTAAACAATTCAAATCAAACCAAAAATGTCGGTACAATGTGCAGTGACAATTTAATCTAACAGAGTTAAAAAATATATATATATTCACATTCAATGTTAAAATCAACTGATTTGCAAAAAAAATAAAATCCAAAAAAAAGACACAAAAAAACATAGCGCTTAATTTATGATTTAAAAGTATGCATATATTATCAAATGATATTTTATTACAAACCCGGGTTTGTCACGCCCGATATTGCGTTGGTACTATTATTTCCGGATACGTCGTACCCGGCATTGCGGGCGTACTATTATTGTATACGGCGATATTCCAATGGCCGAGAGGACGAACACACCTGGTCACTGATTACCTGACATATCTAGGTATATATATGAACAGGTAAGTACACAAACATACATTTGATAACCCGATGTTTATAGCTGACACAATTCCTATTGATTTCCCCATTTCATGTTTAAATATTGCTTACTCATGCATTGCCATCGCAGTCTGTGGTTGCTACCTTAGCGGTAATGCTATACATATAGAAAACGAAAGAGGAAGTTCAGCATAATTATTAAACATTTCAAAAAAGCGGTATATTATGCAAATCCCGCTGGATATACATGTGACACACATGTGCTTTATTCTCGGACGCAGTGTCTGGTTTCTTATTATCTGACATTATATAGTGCTGCCCATGTTCGTCCCATCCCGTTGCGTCGCGGTTGTTACTTTTTATAGAACACTGAAACTAATTTCACATGGCAGTGGGGCATTTATGTCTTGCAGACATTTTCTAGTTTTTTTAAATAAAGCAATGATAATTGCTCTTGACTAAAAGTCTTGAACTTTGCTTGCGTGAAGGGTGGAATCTCTCTTGAAATACATCTACAAAGAGGAAAGGAAAAAACGTTGACGAAGTTAAGGTCTAGAAACGAAAATTGTAATTATTCATAATGATTTAACAGAACTTTCCTCGATTCCATTTGAAATATCTTTTAGGAAACGGGGATTAGGGTAAAATGATAATTAGAAGTATTACTAAGCAAATTTTCTCAAATAACAGCTTTGGCCACCGTGTTACATGTGGAGAGGCAAAATGTTGTAAAGGGAGACGAATCTGTCGTGGAATACTAAGGTCACTGTGTCAAATGTGTAGAAAACCTATACACAACTTCTTCTGAAAAACTAACAGGTCAAGGGTGATGATATTTTGCCAGTAACATGCTGGGATGAATGGCTACTGAGTCTGTTCAAATGAATGACCTTGATTTATATCCAAGGTCACAGGGGTCAAATATATTAACATCCTTTAAACAACTTCTTACGCATAATATTAAAATGGCTCATGGTGTTGATATTTGGCTGGTGACATGCTGGGGGAAAAGGGCTTGTTAGTTTATCAAAAATGATGCTATTTGGCCTTTTACTTGCTTCTTCTGAATAACCAATAGACACAGGATGTTGGGCTTCTTAGTTTGATTAAAAAAATGACATTGACTATATTCAAGGTCGTAGATGTCAATTGTCTTAAAAACATTTAAAACAACTTCTTGTTAATAACCTAAAGGCCCAGAATGATGCTATTCGGCCAGTTACCTGCTGGGTAAAACGGCTACCAAGTTCGCTCAAATGAATGACATTGAATTCAGTTCAAAGTCATAGGGTTAAATATGATTTAAATCTTAAACAGATTTCTTTTTAAACAAAAATCGGCACAAGATGTTGATATGAAGCCAGTGGCATATCATAATAAAGGATTACCAAGGTTTTAAAATTAACATATGTTTAGGGTCAGAAGAATCATATAAAGTATGAACTTTAAACGATTTCTTCTGAATAACCAAATTTGCTAGGGCAATGATATTTGGTCAGGGATAAAGGGCTACAAATTCTGTTCAAATGAATCACGTTCATCCATTTTCAAGGTCAAGGGGGTTAATTTTTATGAAAGAACCTTTTAACTTTTACTACTTAATAACTAAAAGGACCAGGATGATATTTGGCTGGTTACATGCTGTGTTCAAATGAAAGTTTTTCATCCATAGTGTAGGTCACATGGGTCAATTGTCTATGAAAACCATTAAACAGTTTTTTTTATTCGTAATTAGGTTCGTTTGAATGCAACGGTGATAATAAGTTTTTAATAACTTACTTATACAAATATCTGTCCAACAATTCATATATGATACCATTTTACCAAAAAAACACTTCACAACTATTATCATCTACCCCTACACCCTTGACTGATACAGCATCCATTGTCACTTCTTTTTTAAAGCCAGCTACTAGATTAAACGATTTTAACTCAATAAAAGTTTTGCTTAAAGTGACCTATATATGTTTACGGGTCCACTTTCTACGAAGTATTTCAGGTCAATAGGGGGCATGCACAACACATACAAACGTACATCGAATTAGCCGACTACATATGCAGTAACAACAAGTCTCGAACCAAACAATAGTATTAATTTATATACGGTTTGAACTTACGGCAAATCTTGCATGATTGAAAATGGCATAAACCAAATTCATCCAAACAGAAAACTGAACTTAAAAAATCTAAGACTTGATACATTTTACAATAATTGTCAGAATGGAATAAGAACATCGAATTATCTGTGTCAATCAGGAGTTAACCAAGATCTAATTTGTCTGTTTTTGTACTTGTAGATAAACGAGTCTTTACACGGACTTGTAAAATGGCTGAAGGCGGAACTTGTTCAGACCCTCCCTCTGTGACCAGTACAAGACCTAATCTGTTAGAATCCCATCACCTAGATTGTCCCATATGTCTGGAGCAGTTACGACAGCCGAGGTCTCTACCATGTCTCCATTCTCTTTGTGAGGAATGTTTGAGTAGCTACATCATCGTGGAAACTTCTGGGACGAGCGATACGACGACTTCCTTTACCTGTCCGGTGTGTAGGACGTTAACTCACCCTATCGACAAATCTGAGGACAAGGAAAACTGGGCAAAGCAGTTCCCAACCGACAGTCATGCCGTAGAGACGATACAACTGGTGAACCAGACAAAAGAGCCATACCACTGCAAACCCTGCCAGAAGAAAGGAAACATGACGCCGGCAAAATTCTTGTGTAATACCACAGAGTCCTTCTTCTGTGAGTCCTGCAAAGTAGATTTCCATGATATGGTCCACACTGGCTGTGATATTGTCGACATCAAAAGATCAAACATGTCCCAACTACGTGTAACACTTGACCACTCGACCAGACGATGTGACAAACACAATGACAAAATGGACTGCTATTGCCAGGACCACAAGACCCTTGGATGTAGTAAGTGTATATACGTGGATCACAGGAAATGTGAGGACGTATCTACGATAAAGAATTACTGCGAGAAATTAGAAAGTACCTCCCGACTTAATGAGATGAGGAAATCTCTGAAACGAGGAGCAGATGCCATGGAAATCCTGATAAAGGCCTTCTATATGCATCTTCAAAGTCTCACAGACGACAAAGATGCAGCATTGACAAGCATCGATAATCTGCACAAACAAATAGATAAATGTGTCTTACAAATGAAGAAGGAGATCACAGATGACTTGATCACAGCTTACAAAAAGGAGAAAGAGAATCTGAAGATAGCCAGTCAGAAGTGTGAACGACTGAAGACCGCCATGGAGAATACACTGGAGGCGTCCTCTACAGCCCAGCAGAATATAGATCACATGAATACAGTCCTCTTGTACCAGAGAAGCCAGATGGAGGTCGACTCGTGTGAAGGCCTGTTGGCAGAAACGAAGAAGTCATATTCGACCTCTAGGATTGAGCATATAAAAGATTCCAACGTCTCGAGCATCAGTTCAGCCTTAAGCCTAGGAAAAATAGTTGTTGAACAGCAGAAGAAAAACGTCCCAGCTTCCATCAGAACTCTTTCCAAACCTCTTTTCAGATGTGAAATTAAAGAAATAGGAAAGGTGAATATTAAATGTCCATCGGATACGTCGAATTGTTCCGCGGTTGGAGTTGTTTACTTTCCTGATGGCCGAATTGTTGTAGGAGATTACACTAACAAGAAGATCAAGTTAATCACCGACGACGGAAATGTTGCTGCCGAATTACAAGTAAACGGAACACCTGGTGACGTATGTATTGTGGATAACACAACTGTGGCGGTCGCGGTAATGCGTCCCGGGGGTATACGTGTAGTGACAGTCGCGCCCTCTAAACTTACTATGTCATCACAAATAAACACTGAGATACCATGTTACAGCATAGCGTGCAGGAATGGTGAATTCGTCGTGAATACAGGATCCGAAGTGTGCAGCGTGAGTAAGGATGGTACGACACACAAGTTACAAAGATATAGTGATATAGTATTCGGAATATCTTATGATTCCCAGCATGGACATCTGTTCATCACACATTGGACTGACACTACAGGCGAGATGGTCGTCACCAGATTGTCCGATGACAACAAACATACTGACGTGTTGGAAGTCGGTGTCGTTAAGCGTGCGTCAGATGTCGATGTGGACGAGGACGGTAACGTCTATGTCTGTGGTCACGACTCCAACAACGTGGTACAGATGTCTGGGGACGGGACAAACGTCCGGGAACTGTTAACGGCAGCTAACGGTATCGAACGTCCACGTGCAATCTCCGTATGTGGGGATAAAATTGTAGTGACGAACACATCACGACAAATGGACTTTGTCAGAGTGTTTCGACTTGTTTGATATTCAGAATCAATCGTATACTTGATCAATCGTAAGAACATTCATATCAACGAAGAACTGTTCTTAAGGAATAGATGAACGAATATGTACTCCTATAGATAAGGACCAAAGCCCCCTAAAGCCTATTCGTTCAGTTAGGATGAAGTACGTGACGTATATTTGTATTTTACATTGTAATCACATACCTGTCATATGTTTTCTGTACTCATATTAAAGGGAACTTTGATAACAGTTTATATAGTTTCTATTGCATCGCATAAATATGTTAATACATTTAATTGATATGCTTTTAAAAAGTGTGAAACTATTATCATACAAGTTTTAAAAAATAATTCTTTATTAAAAAATGAACTGATGATTTTCATTTCCGTACCTCATTGATACGGTCGGGCAATTTTAAGTAGCAAATACAAATATATGACATATGGAAAATCCTGTAAAGTTTTACAAACATTACTAAAAGGAAATGATGTTTCAATTTAAAATGAAATCAAAATTTATTTTTATCACTTTTCTATCGATAAATGAATGATAATTTTTTTTTAAACTTGGCACAATAATAAAAGAAAAGTTTCAAACGGAAGATGGAGAGATCGCCTTTATTGTACGTGTTACAGGGTGTCGGGACTTGTACGTGTTACAGGGTGTCGGGACTTGTATGTGTTACATGGTGACGGGACTTGTACGTGTTACAGGGTGTGGGGACTTGTATGTGTTACATGGTGACGGGACTTCTTGTACGTGTTACAGGGTGTCGGGACTTGTACGTGTTACAGGGTGTCGGTACTTGTATGTGTTACAGGGTGTCGGGACTTGTATGTGTTTCACGGTGACGAGACTTGTATGTGTTACACGGTGACGGGACTTGTACGTGTTACAGGGTGTCGGGACGTGTACGTGTTACAGGGTGTCGGGACTTGTATGTGTTACATGGTGTCGGGACTTGTAAGTTTTACAGGGTGACGGGACTTGTACGTGTTACAGGGTGTCGGGACTTGTACGTGTTACAGGTGACGGGACTTGTATGTGTTACAGGTGACGGTACTTGTACGTGTTACAGGTGACGGGACTTGTAGGTGTTACAGGTGACGGTACTTGTACGTGTTACAGGTGACGGGACTTGTATGTGTTACAGGTGACGGTACTTGTACGTGTTACAGGTGACGGGACTTGTAGGTGTTACAGGTGACGGTACTTGTACGTGTTACAGGGTGCCGGGACTTGTACGTGTTACAGGGTGTCGGTACTTGTAAGTGTTACAGGGTGTCGGGACTTGTACGTGTTACAGGGTGACGGGACTTGTACGTGTTAGAGGGTGTCGGGACTTGTATGTGTTACATGGTGACGGTACTTGTACGTGTTACACGGTGACGGGACTTTTACGTGTTACAGGGTGTCGGGACTTGTATGGTACTTGTACGTGTTACAGGGTGTCGGGAATTGTACGTGTTACAGGGTGTCGGGACTTGTACTTGTTACAGGGTGTCGGGACTTGTATGTGTGACTTGTATGTGTTACATGGTGTCGGGACTTGTACGTGTTACAGGGTGTCGGTACTTGTAAGTGTTACAGGGTGTCGGGACTTGTACGTGTTACAGGGGGTCGGGACTTGTATGAGTTACACGGTGACGGGACTTGTACGTGTTACATGGTGTCGGGACTTGTATGTGTTAAATGGTGACGGGACTTGTACGTGTTACACGGTGACGGGACTTGTACGGGTTACAGGGTGTCGGGACTTGTATGTGTTACACGGTGGCGGGACTTGTACGTGTTACACGGTGACGGGACTTGTACGTGTTACAGGGTGATTGTACGTGTTACAAGGTGACGGGACTTGTACTTGTTACATGGTGACGGTACTTGTACTTGTTACATGGTGACGGTACTTGTATGTGTTACACGGTGACGGTACTTGTACGTGTTACATGGTGACGGTACTTGTAGGTGTTACACGGTGACGGGACTTGTATGTGTTACAAGGTGACGGGACTTGTACGTGTTACACGGTGACGGAACTTGTACGTGTTACAGGGTGATTGTACGTGTTACAGGGTGACGGGACTTGTACGTGTTACAGGGTGTCGGGATTTGTACGTGTTACAGGGTGTCGGGACTTGTACTTGTTACAGGGTGTCGGGACTTGTATGTGTTACACGGTGACGGGACTTGTACGTGTTACAGAGTGACGGGACTTGTACGTGTGACAGTATGACGGTACTTGTACGTGTTACACGGTGACGGGACTTGTACGTGTTACATGGTGACGGTACTTGTATGTGTTACGCGGTGACGGGACTTGTACGTGTTACAGAGTAACGGGACTTGTACGTGTGACAGTATGACGGGACTTGTACGTGTTACAGAGTAACGGGACTTGTACGTGTGACAGTATGAAGGTACTTGTACGTGTTACAGAGTGACGGGGCTTGTATGTGTTACACGGTGACGGGACTTGGATGTGTTACACGGTGACGGGACTTGTACTTGTTACAGGGTGACGGTACTTGTACGTGTTACAGGGTGACGGGACTCGTACGTGTGACAGTATGACGGTACTTGTACGTGTTACAGGGTGCCGGGACTTGTATGTGTTACACGGTGACGGGTCTTGTACGTGTTACAGGTGACGGGACTTGTACGTGGGTATTAGTATGTGTTACACGGTGACGGGACTTGGACGTGTTACAGAGTGACGGGACTTGTACGTGTGCCAGTATGACGGTACTTGTACGTGTTACCGAGTGACGGGACTTGTATGTGTTACACGGTGACGGGACTTGTACGTGTGACAGTATGACGGTACTTGTACGTGTTACAGAGTGACGGGACTTGTATGTGTTACACGGTGACGGGACTTGTACGTGTTACAGGTGACGGGACTTGTAGGTGTTACAGGTGACGGTACTTGTACGTGTTACAGGGTGACGGGACTTGTATGTGTTACAGGTGACGGTACTTGTACGTGTTACACGGTGACGGGACTTGTACGTGTTACAGGTGACGGGACTTGTATGTGTTACAGGTGACGGTACTTGTACGTGTTACAGGGTGTCGGGACTTGTATGTGTTACATGGTGACGGGACTTGTATGTGTTACACGGTGACGGGACTTGTATGTGTTACACGGTGACGGGACTTGTTCGTGTTACAGAGTGACGGGATTTGTTATTGTTACACGGTGACGAGACTTGTTCGTGTTACAGGTGACGGGACTTCTACGTGTTACAGGTGACGAGACTTGTACGTGTTACAGGGTGTCGGGACTTGTACGTGTTACAGGTGACGGTACTTGTACGTGTTACAGGTGACGGGACTTGTATGTGTTACACGGTGACGGGACTTGTACGTGTTACAGGGTGACGGGACTTGTACGTGTTACATGGTGACGGGACTTGTATGTGTTACAGGGTGTCGGGACTTGTATGTGTTACATGGTGACGGGTCTTGTATGTGTTACATGGTGACGGGACTTGTATGTGTTACAGGGTGTCGGGACTTGTATGTGTTACACGGTGAGGGACTTGTAAGTTTTACAGGGTGACGGGACTTGTACGTGTTACAGGGTGACGGGACTTGTACGTGTTACATGGTGACGGGACTTGTATGTGTTACAGGGTGTCGGGACTTGTATGTGTTACATGGTGTCGGGACTTGTATGTGTTACATGGTGACGGGACTTGTATGTGTTACAGGGTGTCGGGACTTGTATGAGTTACATGGTGACGGGACTTGTACGTGTTACATGGTGACGGGACTTGTATGTGTTACAGGGTGACGGGACTTGTACGTGTTACAGGTTGACGGGACTTGTACGTGTTACAGGGTGACGGGACTTGTACTTGTTACACGGTGACGGGAGTTGTACGTGTTACACGGTGACGGGACTTGTACGTGTTAAAGGGTGTCGGGACTTGTATGTGTTACATGGTGACGGGGCTTGTACGTGTTACACGGTGACGGGACTTGTATGTGTTACAGGGTGTCGGGACTTGTATGAGTTACATGGTGACGGGACTTGTACGTGTTACACGGTGACGGGACTTGTATGTGTTACATGGTGTCGGGACTTGTACGTGTTACACGGTGACGGGACTTGTACGTGTTACAGGGTGACGGGCCTTGTACGTGTTACACGGTGTCGGTACTTGTATGTGTTTCATGGTGTCGGGACTTGTTCGGGTTACAGGTGTCGGGACTTGTATGAGTTACATGGTGACGGCACTTGTATGTGTTACTTGGTGACGGGACTTGTAGGTGTTACAGGGTGTCGGGCCTTGTATGTGTTACACGGTGACGGGACTTGTACGTGTTACACGGTGACAGTACTTGTACGTGTTACAGGGTGACGGGACTTGTACGTGTTACAGGGTGACGGGACTTGTACGTGTGACAGTATGACGGTACTTGAACGTGTTACAGGGTAACGGTACTTCTACGTGTTACAGGGTTACGGGACTTTAACTTCCTACACTCTGACGGGACTTGTACGTGTAAAATGGTGACGGTACATGTACGTGTTTCTGGTTGACGGGACTTGTACGTGTTACAGGGTGACAGTATTTGTACGTGTTACAGGGTGACGGGACTTATACGTGTTACAGGGTGACGGTACGTGTACCTGATACAGGGTGACGGTACTTGTACGTGTTACAGGGTGAAGGACATTTACGCGTTACAGGTTTTCGGGACTTGTACGTGTTAGTAGATGACGTGAGGTGTTACAGGGTGGTTACGGGACTTGTATGTTTTACAGGGTGACGATACTTGTACGTGTTACAGGATGACCGGACTTGTACGTGATACACGGTGACGATACTTGTACGTGTTACAGAATGACGGGACTTGTACGTGATACAGGATCACCGGACTTGTACGTGATACACGGTGACGGGACTTGTACGTGTTACAGGTGACGGGACTTGTACGTGGGTATTATATACGATTATGGTAGTGTGTTCTAATGTAAGGATCGAACCTAGGACATCTCACATGTATCACGTTTTACAGATTGAGCCACTGATCATTTCCATCATGAAATGTCTGTTGGAAGCTCTAATATTTTCCGTTGGTCACAATTTATAGAGTGCCACGTATTGCACCTACGACATCCTTTGTACGTATATATTGTACGATGAACATGAGTTGTTTTGGACTTTTTGTTCGAATATTGCAATATCCGAACTTTATTGGTACCAGTGACATAAATATTTAATTTTGAAAACAGTAGTCTGTCATAACACGACTTACAGTACATGTAGTGGATTTGATAATGCTGGTGGTCGCTGTGGTAGCTTACTCGCTTTTACTTTCGTCCAGGGTTCGATTCCTTGATCATGCGTGAACAGGTATGATGTCAACTATCCAATAACGTAGTTTTATCCACATTAAAGCCCTCCGCACGATTCCAACCGGGTGAAACCAAAACGATTTAGTTAGGTTTTGAAAACTTGTTTTATAGCTTTTGTAAATTAAATAAAAAAAATTATTGTCGTCCTTTGTCATCCTTTGTCGTCCTTCACCTGTGGAGTATATTGAATTGATAAATCAAGTCTCCAAAAGTACCTTGTTTAGTTAAACTATATTGATATCATCAAGACCTCTTTACCACGTGTAGTTACATGTACCTGTATTTACATTATACTGATATCATCAAGACCTCTTTACCACGTGCAGTTATAATGTACCTGTATTTATACTATATCTATATCATCAAGACCACCTTACCACGTGTAGTTACCTGTATTTACACTATACTGATATCATCAAGGCCTTTTTACCACGTGTAGTTACCTGTATATCCACTATACTGATATCCTCAAGGCCTCTTTACCACCTGTAGTTACCCGTCTTTACACTATACTGATATCATTAAGACCTCTTTACAACGTGTAGTTACCTGTATTTACACTATACTGTATTTACGCTTTACCACGTACAGTTAACTACAGGATATTGATATAAACCAGACCTCTTTACCACGTGTATTTATTCACGCTATATTGATATAAACCACACCTCTTTACCACGACGTGTAGGTATTTACATTATGTTGATATAAACTAAACCTCTTTACAACGTTTAGTGAACTACATAATATTGATATAAACCAAACTTCTTAACCGCGTGTAGTTATTTACAATACATTGATCTAAATTAAACCTCTTTACCAAGTGTATTTATTTACACTATGTTGATATAAACTGGACCTCTTCACCACGTGTAGTTATTTACACTTTTATTGATGTAAAGCTAATCATTTTAGAAGGTGGAAATTGACACTATATTGATATTAAATGTAACTGGATCTCTTTACAAAGTGCAGTTAAATATAATATATTGATTTAAACCAGACCTCTTTACAACCTGTAGCTATTTACACTATGGTGATATAAACCATACATCTTTACCACGTATAGTTATTATAACGTTATATTAACATTTACCTGACTTCTTTGTCACGTCTAACTATTTACGTTAAATTGATATAAGCAATACCCACTTACCATGTGCAGTTATTTATAGTACATTGATATAAACCATAACACTTTTCCACATGCAGTTAAATAAGTTACATTGATATAAAGCAGATATCTGTACACCGTGTAATAATTTACATGTCATTTACATAAACCGGACCTCTTTCCCTCGTTCATGTATAATTATTTACGTTATCTTGATATCAACCAAACATCTTTACTTCGTATATATATTTACATGTATATTGATATAAGCCCTACCCTTTTACCCTGTCCTACACCTCGTTCATAAGATGGAGTATTATAGCGATGTTATCGGAATTGTTGTCGTTAAATTGCTGTTTAGGGTCACCTTCATAACGCTGCCTATTACAGATAGGTGCCGAGACGCTCTTTACGTCACTTTACGTATCAGTCAAAATCTGATTTGTAATATGTTACTTCCTATTGACAATATGTGCCATTTTTGACTAATTCTTCGACAGTTATGCATCCATGCAGATGTAAGTATAAAAAGGTGTGATTGTATAGTCGATTTGACACTAGCACTGATCTACTAAACACACAAGTATTGGAATAATTGACTATGTACAGGTATAATTGTTGTTGTAGTCTGCACTTGTTTTCATTGAGGGGGCGTCTCAAAAGCTACTTAACGTATGTAATTACAAGCGTTAGCTATAAAAATGGGAAATTAATAAGATTTACGTTTAAGACACAAACAAACGAGTTTTCATACCAATTTTATACTCGGACACTGACCTCATATTAAATTCATAAATAACGGTTAGTATACTCAGTATGACAGCAAAGCCGTAGTGCTTTTAGAATCAGCCGTTTTGCTACAACGGGTTTTAGATCTGAAGTGAATTAACATACATGTCTTGGATAAATATGGTTATTTAAAAAGTTATAATAGGAAACTATGCAAATAATATGCAAGACTAAATAAAAAATAAAAAATATTTTGATAATACAGGTCCTAAAACAAGTATTCTTCCTAGATATATATAATATATAATTACATGTTTAACCAATCAGTTGTGTCAAGAGCAGTTTGCGCCAGTGTGATTCATTGACCATTAAAGTAATGTTATTGATAGCCGGTGCAGTTCATGTCTTAAAACAAGACTCAGTAAGCGATTTTTTTCTACACAACTACGAAGGGCAATACACAATTCTCAGTCAACACACTGATAATATTGGCGCACAAAGACAATGCGAGAAATGATCATTGACCTAGACAAAGCATGTATATGCACCCATAGTAAATAATGCTAAAGAATTTGTATTTTAAGTTAATGTCATACCAAAGATACAGCAACAGTTACATAGCGTACTGTTCATGGTATGTCATATTGCGCTTGTCTATGACGTGTCATACATTGCAATATTCACTATTTTTATATGTATGGTCGAAATTATATACTTATATTAAAAAATTGAGAATATATTTGCAATATTTTATATTTGTCTTTAATAATTGTTAATACATTTTCAATAAAAAATATTTATGTGCAATAAAATGGGTTGTTAAACTTGTTAAAACTATATTAAAAAAAATATTTGTCTGTAGAAATACAAAACATTTTATCAGATGAATTGATCAATGTTGTTGATAACTTTGATACACTATAAACAGTGACTATGATTGTAGAAAATGGATACGATTTTGTATAAATGAAATTTGAGAAAGCGATATAATTATAAGAGCAGTGGGGTATATCTCTAAGCAGGAAAAAATTAAAGATCTTTTCTAAGGGAACATGTCAAACATTATATCTACTTGCCTGAAAGTTTCATATCTAGCATGTCCGTATCAAGACTTTATACATAGAATATTCTCTAGATATACAATATATTTTATCAGATGAGTGAATCAATGTGAAGTTGACATCTTTACTTTACAAATTTGATTCACTTTCAACAATGACTCTTTCATCTAATTATACTTGCAGAGAGTATAAATATGGCAGAAGGTGGAGCCAGTCCTGACCCTCCCTCTGGAGATAGTACAACACCTTACCTGGTGGACTTCGACCTTATAGAATGCCCAATCTGTCTTGAGCAGTTGCGTCGACCAAAGTGTCTTCCGTGCTTCCATTCTTTTTGTGAGGAATGTATGAGTAGGTTTATCGTTGAGGAGGTTTCGCGGACAAGTGATACGGCGACTTTCTTTACCTGTCCGGTATGTAGGCAGATAACTCACCCTGTCGATAAATCTGAGGACACAGAAGACTGGGCCAAGCAGTTCCCGACCGACAGTCATGCCGTAGAGATGATACAACTGACGAACCAGACAACACAGCCATTACTCTGTAAACCATGCCAGAGGAAAGGAAACATGACGTCGGCGAAATTCTTTTGTAAAGCCACACAATCATTCTTGTGCGAGTCCTGTAAAGTCGATTTTCATGATATGGTTCACACTGACTGTGCTATTATCGACATAACGGGTTCAAACAAGTTCCAAGTAATGCAGACAACAAATGCAATTTGTGACAAGCACAACAGGAATAAGATTTACTATTGTGAAAATCATGAATTTATCGGTTGTAGTCAATGTATGAATGTTATTGGTCATAGGGATTGTGAAAATGTGACAACCATAAAGGATTACTGTGGAAAATGCGAAAGTAGACACTTATTTGATACAAATAGGAAAGCTCTACGTCTAGGAGTGACCGACTTGGAATCCCTGATACAGGACTTCTATCTACAACTTCAAAGCAGTGCAGACGACAGAGATTCAGCACATAAAAGCATTGAAGACCTGCAAAAACAAATAGATCAACGTACTGCAGAGAAAAAAAATGAGACCACAGATGAACTAATCTCTACATACAAAGTGGAACGAGATAACCTGAAAATGTCCATTCAGAAGTGTGAACGACTGAAGGCCGCTATGCAGAATACAATTGGGTCGTCGACTAGAGCACAGCAGATGAGCGACTTTTTGAACATGGTCCTGTTCTACCAGAAAAGTAAGGCGGAGATCAAGTCTTGCAGGGACTTAATGGCAGAGTTGCGGAAGTCACTTTCAACCACCAGGATTGAACATGAAGTAAACTTTAACCCCTCGAGAAAAGACACAGTTCTGAACTTTGGGAAAGAAGTTGTCTGGAAGCAGCAAAGAGCCGCTTCAGTCGATGTTAAGGATATTAATCAAGTTTTATCCAGTTGTCAAATGAAAGAAATAAGAAAGGTGAATATGAAATCTCTATCTGATACCTATGATTGTAGGGGGTATGGAGTTGTTTACTTTCCCGACGGTCGGATTGTAGTGGGAGATCATTACAAGAACAAGATCAAGTTACTTGATGCCGAAGATCATGTCGTGGACGAGCTGAACGTTAATGGGCTTGTATGGGACGTATGCATGGTGGATAACAGTACCGTGGCTGTCGTTACCGAGAAAGCAGACGGAATACATGTAGTGACAGTCGCACCATCAAGACTTATCCGGTCATCTGAAATAAAACCAACGTTGAGCTATTGTTATCGCATAACGCACAGGAATGGTCACTTCATCGTGAGTCAGGGATGTTACGTGTACAGTGTGAGCAAGGATGGTACGACCCAGCAAATACACCAGTACGACAGAACAGTGTCAGCGTTGGCTTATGATCCCAAACATGGACACCTCTTTGTGGCATATTTCGCTGAAACCCATGATAGGATGATCGTCGGTAGGTTATCCAAAAGTAACAAATACATTGACTTGGTGAAGGTTGGTGTTGTTGCATGTGTCACGGGAATGGACGTTGACTTGGAAGGTAACGTCTATGTTTGTGGCTCCAACAAGGTGGTACAGATGTCTGGAAACGGGACAAACGTCCGAGAACTATTGGCGGCAGGAGACGGTATCGCAGCGCTTCAGTCAATCTCCGTATGTGGGGATAGGGTTTTGTTGACGAACTGCTCCTCGCAAAAGAACTACATCCAAATGTTTAAGCTTTGTTGAAAAGCTGGTGCAAATGTTCCGAAGTGAACGTAATGTCCATACTTCTGAAACCAATTAAATGGAAACCTCATCCAGCAAATACTCCCGTTTGAACTGGTATATGGATTGAGTCGGCTTACTTTTTCCTGTATTCTGTTCTCTTTCTAGTGTTATATATGTTTTTGTTTATCATGTATCATAGTTAGTATGGGTTGTGACAAACCAGACAGTTGGCATCAGAATTCGTCTGTGATATGTAATATATGATTGGACGCTCGCTGGTGTTGCTAGATTTCATATCATTTATCATATATTTACAGTACAAACAAATCAAGTGTAAAAGAAATGCCACATATGTAGAACATTAACACATACATGGACGAGCCGATTACTGGATTTCCCTTCTTCAAATGGATTTTTAAGCTGGAACACTTAAGGGCAATATTAACTGTCAAATGTTATATGAAATATATAAATGTATATCAAAATACATGCACACTATTAATCTTCTGTGTGTCTGCAAGTGAGTATTTGGCAATTTGCTTCCTAGATCAACTAGATACTGTATTGAAAACGATTTGTGGCAACCGTCTTTGCCTACATGCTTTTTTGGTTTACATGTATTAAAACGTTTATTCAAAATAAATATTACAAATATTCAAACTTCAAAATTATTTTTTATTATTCGGCTTAGTATTATAATGAGGTCGTACGAGTTGTAGAGTATATAAGTTTAGGCCGCATGACTCATAATGTCTGTCAGCGTTGATAAAGTATGCTCTCTATCTTGAAACAAGAACCTACAGACAAATTTCATAAAATATAAAGATACTGAATGCTTTTGTTTAACACGACGACACATGCAAGAACGATGTCACAACTAAAATAGGTTGATGACAGTAGCAGTGATAGCAACAATAGTGGTATTGAAAACTTTGTTGCAGAGAAACGAAGACTCATTTCATGTCACAGAAACAATTTCTCCATTTTACTCAAACATATATTACAATTCCCATACATTTTCGATATTGACATGGTTTCCTGATGTGTTAATTGAATATGATCGACAAAATACGATTCAAAGTTTCATACCTTGATCACGCTTAACCGACAAAGCAATACGAGTCATCAAAATTGCACAGATTAATATATATGTGTTACCGTTAATACCCTAACATACACAAATGTATGAAATTTGTTTGACATTATGTAACATAATTATTCTGTTATTTTACTGGCGATTATAATGAAAAGTTCATAACCTGTAAGATGCTAGAAAATATTAGTTTCTATCTTTCAGAATTTTTACCCATCATACCTTTGATGTATTATATAACATTACAAAGACCACGTGGACAGGATAGAAGATGTACCTTTTGTCTGATTACCCGGACAGTTTATGCAGGTATATACAGGTGTGTAAACAGATATGGCTTGACTAAGCTTATAATCAGCATAACACAACACTTAACTACTCCCAATGTAAACAGACCATATATATATATTGCTGTACACTTATCTAACATCAGTTTAAACTGACTCAGACACACGATGTTAGGGGTAATCTCAGAAGCTACGAAAACACAGAGCAACATTCCTCTGACAAGTGTATTAATATCAGCATGGAAAACTAGCTAAAACTCTGCGGGATATTTCATTACATTACATGTATCTCATAACACCTGTGTACATCAACACATTTGTTTGTTTGTTTGTTTGTTTAGTGTTTTGACATCCTTGCAGCAGCCAGGGTAATATGATGAGAGGTGCCTAGGGAGAGACTGCCAGAAAAGAGAAAGTAAGAGAAAGAGAAAAATAGTAGAGAGGAATTATATGACTAGATTATAAAGATCCCAAGAGCTGTCGCAAGGGAGGCAGTTGGTCAATTTCGGTACCTTCCATGTCCTCCTATAAAACACAAGAGAAACTCCCCGTTTCTGCATGGGGCCCATTTTAGTCACCTTTTACGATACACAAGCAGGTGGATAGAGCAGGTCTGTGCTTGGTGTCATCATCAGTGTCCCTTAAACAGGTGTCAAGGAAAAAACAACCCCAGAGGCTGCAGGGGGCACGTTAGTCGCCTCTTACGATCATGCAGTGGGATACAGTAGACCTTTTCCTTTACAAGCATGCACCGGTTTGTTCCACAAAAGAGACAATATTTTCAATGATGTTATATTCGACCTGGACTTGTCATACTACGTCAATATCATTTGTGATCAGGTCGCCTTTTACATCAATGGGCTGCGGAGGCCGAATGGTTAATGTGTCTGCCCGTCTGGATCACTAGCCCTCCACCATTGGGTAGCGGGTTCGAGACCTACGTGGGGTAGTCGCCATGCACTGGCCGTAGGTCGGTGTTCTTTCTCCGGAAAATCCGGATTTCCTCCACCACCCAAATCTGGCTCGTCTTTAAATGACCACAGCTTTTAATACGACGAAAAAATCAAAAAACCTAACCTCGACAATCATATCACTACAGCAATACATCTGTACATGTATCTGGTCATACATCAGATGCAAGCAAACGCTACAACAACTGAATAAGATGACCTTAGAGTAACTCCTCCTTCAGCATGTTCTTGTTTTACGTCCCAATGCAACTGTATGGTCAAGATGGACACATAGTACCTGGATATCGGTTATCAAAATATCATCCATAATGCAAGGTTACTAGATATTCTCACGAAGGGTTCCAGGTACCGGGTGATTCCAACTATCAACTGTTTGTAAATGTCAGAATACTGATTGATTCTGAGGAGAACCGCATAGTTACAAGAAATTTTCACGATCGAAAAAACTCTTACTGTCATCTTGTTGTAAATTTCAGGGTACTGATGTATACTGAGGAAGATTATGCAGATTAATGACCAAAGTCAGTGCATGCTGAATTGGATTTACTTTCAGACTTGGATAAATCTATTGGGTCGACTATCTATTAAATTTATTCGTTGCTTGAAATCCAACATTAAAACAAAAAACAATCTCAATTTTGTTTATCCCGATGTCCAAACGACACTCAACGATTTGCATGCTAGATATATATCTGTGTCTGCAGACAAAGCATCTAATTACTTTATCTTTGTTTGCAAACTTTTTCGTAGGACAGTACTACGAAAGTGTTTATTTTCGCGTTGTGACTATTTTGACTTAATAGCTACAATTGATTTAGCTTTATCTCCTTTATAAACTGTAAGGAGTGTTGTTACTTTTCCACTGTTTGATTATAAGTGGTGTAGAGATTTTTGTTTTTTGACGATATGTAGTTAGCTATTTTGTTTATGTTTTTGTACTAAAAGAGTTTTAGCTCTTCTCACTTTTAGACTTTTTAAGATATGGATATTTTCACATTTTGACTTTCATTTTGGAGAACGAGACATAACATTGATACGCCCTGGAAATAAATGCCACATGTCGTCAATGAAGCAGGAGACACTTACCCTTTCGGATCACCTGACCCAACATTCATGAAACCGTTCTTATGCTAAGACAGGCATTCTGTGTTCCAGACAACTTTCTAGTAACTCACTAAAACCATATATAACAACACTATAAAAATGTCAGGTGTTAACACTGAAATCGGTATTAGGTTTTAATTCTACTTGAAAACAAAACTGTTTTTTTATCTATTATTTATTTATCCCATGCACAAGAATCTGCGTTTAAGCATAATAACTGTTTCTTGAATACGGCCACTGGTATTTTTCTCTTTGTATTTTGTACTGCAGGTGCAATTGTTCCAAAGTGATCGGTACCCCCACACTACTGATACCAATTAAATATAAACCTCATCCAGCAAATACTCCCGTTTAATCTGGTTTATGGATAAATACATCTCTATTTATGGTCACATACCAGTTAATTGAATGGGATCTTGACACAGTTTTCATTACTCTCTAAATGTAGTTCAACAAGGAAATATTACCGCAGTTGTATTCGATTAAGCGCCTGACATGAATTAAGTCAATATGTACTTTTTGCTGTATTCTGTTCTCATACTAGTGTTATGTATTATTTTGTTCAACATGTATAGATTGAGATGATGCATGTCGTCAATGAAGCAGGTAACAATCTCCCTTTCAGATCACATGAAACAACAATCATGAAACCGTTCTTATACCCAGACAGGTATTCTGTGCTCATACTAATTTTCTTGCAACTCGCTAATACCATTCTTTTAAGTTTTTCCTTGTAAAAAAACTCTTGGATAACCCTTCAGTATTCTCGTGTCTGACAGTCAAAGATATAAAGGATTTGTACTATTGATCTAACCGATATTTATTTAGGTAATCCTCTCATTGGTATTATCAAGAATAAATGCAGGTTACTGAAAAGTACAACTATGTCAGTTTTTCTTCATTTTTAAACGGTTGCAAGCGACTTCATATAAAGAAAAACATCATGGACATGACACTTAAAACATTATGTCGTTGAGATTTACGGTTTTATATGATCTACCTGTAACAGTCAGTTCATTATAAATCCGGATTCGTTGTCCCCGGCATTGCGGTCGTTTTATCTATTATATCTATTTTATTTTAATCTATTAGATTGAATTATGCACCAGTACAAAGGCCGCTACAGGGTGGGCGAGACGACGTTTTCACCTGGTTAATGACTACCAGACATATCTAATATATATATGAACAGGTAAGTACACAAATATTGTCATTTTATAGGTAATTATTATTTATTCATGCATGGCTACCGCAGTATATGTTAGTTACCCTGCGGATAATGCTGCATATGTTGAAAACGAAAGAAAGAGTTGTGGACATGATGTTCAATATATTTTGCGCACAGACCAGCTTGTAAGCGATACATGTTTCAGTTATACCAGTAGGTTTGACACACCTATGCAGTTCATTGTGCATATTTTCATTTTATTTTTCCATTTTAAGATTCATTTAAGATTGGTGTTTACTCATACAGTTCAAAATTTCATGTTGTTATCGCCAAGGTCAGGTCAGAAACTAGGCCAGCAGTAGAAACAGCAGATGCCACGTGCTGTTCCCCGCACTATTACGACAGATAAAATATAGTTATCAGGTTTGATTCATTAGTTTTCAATTAAAAAAAAAATAAAAAAAAATAAAGCAAATTTTACTATAATAGCGTCGAATAAAATGCTGGAAAATGTTTTTAATATTTTGTTTTTTAAAAGAACTATTTTCTGACCGCGAATTGTAGCAGTAGTCTCAAACCATGTACTCATTTTCTTCAAATTTCAGCGGCAGTTATACTCTCATAAATGAACCTGATATAGAAAGGTATTGTAACACGAAATGAAAAGATTTTAACATTGTTATTTTACAAGCGGAATATTGTAAAATTTCTAAGTTTTCGGATGCGTGAGTCTGGTTTCTTGATATATTTATTCTGTGTATTCTATAAGTCTCATAATGCTATATCAGGGAGTTCAGAAAGTGAGACACGAAGTGAGAATTCCGGACTTGTGGTGTCCTCGATGTTGGCATACCTAATTTAATTTAACCTAATTTGGCCCACAATGAGAACATATTTCACAGGTTACTCCTGAAATACAACGAGGCAAAAGTAGGAAATTAAAAAAGATAAAATAAAATATTTTCCTTCAGAAATATTCCTGGGTATATTTAGCCTTTTTTTTAAATTCTGATGTTTAATTTTGTCGTGGAAGCATCGTTTCAAAGAGAAAAATGAAATTTGAAAGGGAGTTCTGTTGGTTGCAAATGGTCTATTTCTTCGGGAAAATATTTTATTTGTTAAAAGGATTCCATGTTTAAGACATTCAGCGGTGGACCATTCTAGGATCAAACAATAATTTGTTGTTTCGTGATGTTCTATTTACCTCGTGTCTTGTATAATACAGTAGATAAAATGTTCATCAACGCTATTGTGTGCTCGTACAGCAAAATCGTTATGTCCACACTTGTAAGTGACTGATACTTTCACGTTTATTTATACTTTAATCTTGGTTTTCATTTGTTTTAGTTCATCAATGAAATTCATTGTATTAAGATTGTTCAAGAAAATATGAATTACAGTTTTTGTGCCCCTCCCCCTGATTACTGTGTATAGCGTGCCACACAATATAACATAATTTAAACTTAAGAATCTAGGTATCACTGCAAGAACTGTTACTTTTCAAAGTAACATTTTACTGCGATAAGAACAGTTTTGATAAATTATTCATGAAAACATAAATGGAAGAGTGGTTATAGTAATAAAGATGATATAAACAAATTTCATGGTGCCAGAAAAGGATTTCAACCTTTGACCTCAAGTTAGTATACTGTTGCTCTATGCAAACTGAGTTATCAGATCAACTGAGATAATAGTGAGATGGGGTTCCTTAATCGTCTTTATGTTGTCTTTTGTAATCAGATTTGTCTCCAGTAGGACTGATATGTGATACAGAAAGGGAATCTATCGTTTCAGTTTTCCTCATTTTCTTCATGGTGTCACTGGTGCTGCTGAATCTGAAATAATTTTCACACTGGTTATGTTAATTCAAAACTCAGAAAAAGGTTATGCTAACTAATGTTCTCAGCCGAGAAAATGGCTAAGTATGATATAACACAAACAGCAACATAAACACTGCTGTTTTTTTAAAAGCTTCAATCATTTAACGATAAGTGTTCACTTAATAGTAACATAGGGGTTAAAACAACAAGTAAATTGTTCAGATACTTCGTAAACGAATAGACGCCCAATGTCTTCAATAAGGTATTCAATTGGAATGCACTACATGTATGTATATTCTTTGTACTTGTAGATAATCGAGACTATTCACGGACGTGTAAAATGGCTGAAGGCGGAACTTGTTCAGACCCTCCCTCTGTGGACAGTACAAGACCTAACCTGTTAGAATCTCATCACCTAGATTGTCCCATATGTCTGGAGCAGTTACGGCAGCCGAGGTCTCTACCATGTCTCCATTCTCTTTGTGAGGAATGTTTGAGAAACTACATCGTCGTGGAAACTTCCGGGACGAGCGATACGGCGACTTCCTTTACCTATCCGGTGTGTAGGACGTTAACTCACCCTATCGACAAATCTGAGGACAAAGAAAACTGGGCAAAGCAGTTCCCGACCGACAGTCATACCGTAGAGATGATACAAATGGTGAACCAGACAACAGAGCCATACCACTGCAAACCCTGCCAGAGGAAAGGAAACATGACGCCGGCAAAATTCTTGTGTAAAACCACAGAATCTTTCTTTTGTGAGTCCTGCAAAGTCGATTTCCATGATATGGTCCACACTGACTGTGATATTGTCGACATCAAAAGATCAAACAGGCCCCACCTACGTGTAACACTTGACCACTCGACCAGACGATGTGACAAACACAATGACAAAATGGACTGCTATTGTCAGGACCACAAGACCCTTGGATGTAGTAAGTGTATATACGTGGATCACAGGAAATGTGAGGACGTATCTACGATAAAGAATTACTGCGAGAAATTAGAAAGTACCTCCCGACTTGATGAGATGAGGAAATCTCTGAAACGAGGAGCAGATGCCATGGAAATCCTGATAAAGGACTACTATAAGCAACTTCAAAGTCTCACAGACGACAAAGATGCAGCATTGACAAGCATCGACAATCTGCACAAACAGATAGATAAATGTGTCTTACAAATGAAGAAGGAGATTACAGATGACTTGGTCACAGCTTACAAAAAGGAGAAAGAGAACCTGAAGATAGCCAGTCAGAAGTGTGAACGACTGAGAACCGCCATGGAGAACACACTGGAGGCGTCCTCTACAGCCCAGCAGAATATAGATCACATGAATACAGTACTCTTGTACCAGAGAAGCCAGATGGAGGTCGACTCGTGTAAAGGCCTGTTGGCAGAGACAAAGAATTCGTATTCAACCTCTAGGATTGAGCACAGAATAGAATCCAACGTTTCAAACATCAGTTCAGCCTTAAGCCTAGGAAAAATAGTTATTGAAACACAGAAAAAAGATGTCCAAACTTGCTTTAAAACTTTTCCCAAACCCTTATCCAGATGCGAAATTAAAGAAATAAGAAAGGTGAATTTTAAATGCCCATCGGATACGTCGAGTTGCTTAGCATATGGAGTTGTTTACCTTCCTGATGGCCAAATTGTTGTAGGAGATTTTCAAAACCAGAAGATCAAGTTAATCACTGACGACGGAAATGTTGCTTCCGAATTACAAGTAAACGGAACACCTTTGAACGTATGTATGGTGGATAACACCACAGTGGCGGTCGCGGTAACGGGTCCCCGGGGTATACGTGTAGTGACAGTTGCGCCCTCTAAACTCACTCTGTCATCAAAAATAAACACGAGGGAACCATGTTTCAGTATAGCGTGCAGAAATGGCGACTTCATCGTGAGTACAGGATTCAAAGTGTGCCGCGTGAGTAAGGACGGTACGACACACAAGTTACACCGATATAGTGATGCAGTGCACGGAATGTCTTATGATTCCCAGCATGGACAACTGTTCATCACACATAACACCGTCACTGAAGGCGAGATAGTCGTCACCAGATTGTCTGATGACAACAAGCACACTGACGTGTTGAGAGTCGGCGTCGTTAAATATGCGTTTGGTGTTGATTTGGACGTCGAGGGTAACGTCTATGTCTGTGGTTACGGCTCCAACAACGTGGTACAGATGTCCGGGGACGGGACTAACGTCCGGGAACTGTTAACGGCAGCGAGCGGTATCGAACGTCCACTGTCAATCTCCGTATGTGGGGATAAAATTGTGGTGACGAATGAGTCATCAAAGCAAAGGGACTGTATCCGAGTGTTTCAACTGATTTGACATTCAGAATCAATCGTACTCTTTATCAGCCGCTAGAACGTTCATATATTTGTATTTTACAGTGTAATCACATACCTGTCATTATTTTTGTACTCAGATTAGAGGGATCTTTGAAAACATTTTATATAGATTAAATTGTACATGTACTTCATAAATATGTTAATACATGAAATTGATATGCTATTACAGAGTGTTAAACTATTATCATACAGGATTTAAAAATAATTCTTTATTAAAAAATGAACTGATGAGATTTCCCTTTCCATACCTCATTGACACAGTCGGCTACTTTTAAGTTAGCAAATATAAATATATCGCATATGGAAAATCCTGCGAAGTTTTACATTACTTGTACGTGTGAATTAATTACGATGATGATACGTGTGTTCTAATGTAGGAATCGAACCCAGGGCCTCGGGCTTGTATCACGTTTTACTATTTGAGTCGCTGAGCAATTCTCTACAGCATTTTCTGTTGGAAACTTTAATAGTTTACTAGGGTTCTACTTTATAGAGTGTCATGTTCTGTATCTATGACACGCTTTGTACGTATATAATGTACGATGAGCATAAGTATTTCTGCTTTTTTGGTTCGAAATTTTGCAAATATCTGAACAGAAACACTGCCAGTGAAATAAATATTTAATTGTAAAAACAGTTATCTGTCATCGCAAGACTTCCAATACATGAAATGAATTTTAGAATCTGTCATTAGGATTGCGCAGTGGCTAGCACGATTAACCCTTTACTTCCGGTCGAGGTTCGATTCTTCGATCAGCCGTGAAAATGTATGATGTCACCTTCCCTTACTCCCGCATTAGACACCCTGCGTCTTCCATCCGGGTATAATCAGCGTGATTAATTTAAGTAGGAAAACATTGATTACATTATCTTTATAAAATAATTGTAATCCAATAAAACTTAATTGTCAACTACAATATATGCCGCCTCTTACCTGTGGCGTATTTAAACACTATATCTCAAAACGTACGGACGCATGGACTACCTACAGTCGGTCTATAGACAGACATCTCAAATCTGTGTCATATATTGAAGAGAGATCACGAACAATTTCCCCGCCACTACCGACAGACGGACTTCAAAATTTCTGTCCATCGAAAGTGTCGTCTTTCACCTCTGACGTATATAACAATTAAATCATTCGTAACGGACGGAAGGACTCCCGACAATCAATCGATTGTGTCGTGTGTCACATGGACAGTTGTGTAAGTAAACTATCCGAACATACGCAAAGTTCAGTACAAGCCTCTTACATAATGTTATACGTGTAGCCATGACTATTACATGGACTATTCATATTGGAATATCGGATTTTATTTTAGGTACGCTAACCTGTTTATTTGTTGTATATCCAATCCAATATACACTCATGTAGAATGTTTCTCCAGATATATCAGCTTAATTATTCGTGAAATACATGTTTTCTCATTATTTCGCTCAAATTTATGAATTTACATAAACGAGAGATCTTTACGTGAATTTTCACTCGCCTTCAATCGGTACGATAACCGGAAGTCATCACGATTGCATGGTCATTGTGGCCGAAATTACAATCTGTAAATTAAACAGTTATCTGATTGAATGATAAACCGGTTGAATTACAAAAGAACTTCATCCTTCTGGACACGTATGTTTCCTGTGTACTAAAGGGATTAATATTTAAACTCATCTTAAACAAGGCATCTTCTTTGATTATATCGTCACATGGCTTTAAAGTTAATCGCGCTCGACTTCCCCTGCCATATTTCCTCACCCAGGGCATCTCTTGATAAACGAGTAATAGGTATCACGTCTGAGTTCCGAATGGCTGAACAAATCACACATGGCGCTTCAAAACGATCATCTTTATTGATGTGTTATTGTTTTATATCATTTTGATAACATGTGTGTTGCCATTGTGGGAGGGAAACACGATTTTTTGTTTCCCGTCTCTAATTTGTGTTTAACGAGGGCTAAGAAATACGTTTCATTACCACAGTGGCACTAAATGTCTTATGAAACATTCATTCACATAACTTATAGGTCTCTGAAAACCCACCGGAAATTGGAGCTTTCCGTTATTGGAGTCCAGATTGTCGAGATGTCACTGTTAGAATATACAATGTTACATATATGTAATATTTATCTAGTGTTGTAAGCGTGTCACTTGCCATGTCAATGCCTAGGTGGCATAGAATTTATGTATTGAGCATTCGTGTCGCATCGTATGCTTGACAAAATGGCCTTTAATCAAACTGGGCAGTGAAATTGATTATCAGCTACAATGTGAGTATACGCTTGTGATGTCCGTGGTCAGTGGACATCTGCAGTCATTATTCTTTCAGAGAATAATAAATCACTATCCTGCTTTCGGTCTGTCATGGCCGACACCGGATGTGAGAAATGACATCCACTTCCTGTCAGAAGTCATGGTCTCTCTGACGTTTGAGACTTTATTGTTTTCGTCGTTACTTTCGAACATCTCGGTAACAAGTGAGAGTGGACAAAGAGCACGCAACCTCGCGACGCCTTTTGTATAATTTGTATGTATGAGGGCAAACGGAAATGATAGATGCATTCAGTGTGGTACAATACCAAGAACGTCTTACATAGGGGTCACACAGGTCATGTAATCTCTATTTATATGTGTTTTCTTTGCGACGTTTCATTAACGGCCTGCTGCTTGTGTCAAGTTGTATAAATTGAACCGTCATATATCATTTAATCTCATACTACGATAATAATAAATATTGTTTGTAAGGTTTTATTTGTTCACTTTTTCTTTTTATTCAACACATGTCTGTTACATGTGAGTATTGTTATGCATCTATGTGAAATAAAGACGGTTAATACCCAAGCCGCGGGTAAAATGGACAAGATTCTCGTCTGAGAGTGAGAGATTCCTCCTTTCTACTCTCAAGAGAGGGACGATGTCTTTTTCCCTTGCCAATTTCGTACAAAATGCATTTACAGGCGTTATAATCTTTTCGGCTGTATAAATGGGTTTTTTTTTAACATTTTCGTTTCAATGTTGATCTTATTTAATAAACTTGTGCAAAAAGATTTTAAAATTACAAAGCAAATGTGTATGGCGGTTATTGACATTATTAACATTTCCGTTCCCTATTGACGATCCACAATAATGGAAAGTTTCATTTCTACATCATCAATATATTATAGTAAATTAAGTACACGTGCTGGAAAATGTACCATCGTGTCAATACATACAGAAAAACACCGGAAGTTGAATTTGATTAAATATTAAAGGAAATTACACCGAAAACAAAACCAATAACAAGAAAACAAAATAATTAGTACACGAAAATAACGATATCTTTAGTAAAGTAAAATATTCTGAACGTAAACTACAAGATAAAAGAATACACATTATTTTATTTCGTAACACTTTATTACCTAGAGAACAATTGATAAACAATTTTTTCCCGTTTATACCATCGTACTGTACGTGTACTTACAAAATGTATCATGTTGACCTTATCACAACCCCATAATACCGCTAATGTTTCCTCCACGGAGAAGATATAGTCCGATGCTGATTTGATTGTCCGAGCCTCGTTAGGGAAGATACAGCGATAACGTTATCAGATAGTGACAACAGCACGCGACACCAGACTGTCCATCTCTGGTCGGAAGTGACCCAGTCAGCACGTGACTCGACAAAAGCACGAGGTTGTACTTTCTGATATAAGACATACAGAAACGGTAATCTTGTTACTTTCCCTCTATTGTATTACACAGGGGAAATAATCAAATAACCGCATAACATGTGTCACCGAAAAAAGTACTCATCTATTTTTACTATTCCTATGGGATAATGAATTCATATGAAAAAAACTTGAAATTTGAAATATACTATTACTTTTACTTTTATGAATTACTTCGTTTCCTTGTCAACATAGAAGATATTTTTCGTTATTATTATATTTCGGGCTAAATATAGAAATAACCGATAGACTCTATGACGAGTAGCGAAACACATCGTGTAAAATAAAAAGTTAACGAGACAAACAAATAAGGAAACAACGAAAATAGAATTGACATGACAAAATGAGTGCCGCCGAATGGACAAACCTAGTTGGTATCGGAACAATAAACGCTGTCTACCACAGACGTCATTACAACATATATGTAGCTACCGGAAATAGTTCCCTACCATTAATATTAATAAATAATATCTCCTCTATATCCTGGTGTATCTGACTGTATTGATAACAAATAACTTACATACATGTAATATAACGAAAGTGAGATAATGTTGGAAATAATAATCAACCAAGGCCGCTTCGTACTGTTTGAGTTAATTATTTTATTCCATTTTCGAATCCCGGTTAATATTATTCCACTAGAATTATATAAGTGAATGATAAATATATATATCCAATCACACGTCAGTGTTATTTAATGTATTTTTGTGTATAGTATTGCAATGTCAATTAGTCACAGTAATAAAAAATCATATGGTATAAAATTCGATTAAATGCCGAGGCCATTTGCGACTCGGTATAAATAAGCAAAAAATGTATGCCGGGTGGCGGATTCCAGAAAGTTTACATGTGGCGATAGTAATTGTGTGATTTTCCAATCATGCTTCGTTTCAATTATCATAAGTTGTGTTCGTGTGCTAAGTTGTTTAACACAACATTTACCATTCCGATGTCACGTCATATTGTTTATGTGTCTATATAATTGGTATATATTTTGTACATTTCACCAAAGATATTCATATTCATTATTATCAATAACCTTGTTGTGTTTATTTGGTCTAAATTTGTGGAAAAGATAGAAATCCAAACTCAATAATGCGGAATGTTTAGCATATAAAGACAATTATAAATATGTATGAATATTTACATTTCATAAACCATACATGTACATCATTAGACAGTGCTAGCTGGACCATTCAGCAAAAGCATGAAAAATAACAACGTCACACAATCACATTAAAAAAATATCTCTTAATTTAATATGCGTACGATGTAAGCTTATTAAATTTCCCCCATAACCACTATAGGTTTTCTCTCATCCGACTCATTGGATAATCCAGCTAAGAGTCGGCAAAAAGTTTTGGTTACCCGCTAGTGGGCAACACCCTGAACGTTATTTGATTGGTCAATCTACTAATTAATGACGTCAATTAACAATGCTTTGAGACGAAATCTTATATTGTGACGTCTTAGGTTATGGTCAATGTTTATTCCAAAGAGAAAAACGTGGTTTTCTAAATATAATATCTGAACGTTGCGGAAGAAAATTTCCCAAACTCCTGATGGTTGATTATCACGTTTATCTAACCTATTGTTAGTTAATTTTCAAATTGTAAAATACACTCTGAAAACCTCGCGTCTTTATAGAATTTAAAAACTAACTAACTCGAGTTAGATAAACATGATATCTAACTATCACTCGTTGGGGAACCTCTATATAGCGTGTGACGTCAACAAATTACATATATAATATGTATACAAGCAACGCGAACGACACGCAACAAGAAATTATTTTTAAACCATAGTCCTCGTAGTTAGCAACATCACAATGTATGCGTGTGTTCTATTTTCTGAATGAAACAACACAAGCAGGACTTTTACTTACGTGTAACTCGGTAACTTAGAACGCGATGTGCATTTCATGTCAATTTTATAACATACTGAAGAATCTTTTTGACATTTCTGCAGAAAACGAGTATATAAAGTCTATAAAATACTCCCTTTGTTATGTTTCACCGGGATAATCTTTTAGTATTGACGACACAAAATAAAGAAATAATATGAACTCGTTTGTATTTTGCGGGTGTCATTATCCGGAACTGACTGTCCGGTCCCCGTATTCCTCCTTAGAAGATACGCAAAACTAGACCCTTGTTGTCAGCGCAAGCTACGCCGTACAGAGAATTACAAGTGACCAATTTGCAAGCGTCTGGTTGATCGAGACTACCATTCAGCAAAGTCAACTACTGCAACGCAACTTCTTTGGGGCCAAGTTGTACATTCGGACAAATTGAGGGAAACGAATTTTCCTTAACAATTTTAAAATGCGGGCACGAAGAAGGGTACATCAAATGTCACGAGTGTGACTATACTGTGAATGTGGTAAATACAACAGTGTGTATGTGTATGTCAAGTAAGATTCAATGGCAGTAAAGGGCGGCTACAGATCCATTTTCCCAAAAAAACTCAGCGTTGTTTTCGAGTAGTTTTCTGTTTACAATGCCCGTTTCACCTTGTGCTAAGAAGTTATCTAAAAGAATGATGGAAAATCGGTACGGTCATAAAAGCGAAATTTGTACAGGGTTGTCTTTAAATGCTAAGTGAATACCCAGGTTTTTGGATGTCTTACCAGGTAATGTATCAATCTCTGTACAGAGTTATCGATCCTTACTGTCTAAACTCTAAAGTGAGAGATCCAAAACTCGAACCGAAAAGCTGAAGCTACCGTTGTTCACCTTTTAGCTTTGAACCAGCTACTAACTGTATGTTTCTCCTCCCTCATTCTCCATTTTCTATTATCAAAATACAGTGTATTGCTATTTAGCTGTTGTATAGCCTGTTGTGTGTGAAATATTCACGCTAAATATCAAGGAAATGTGAAAAATAGAGGATTTTTAATTGTTTTCTATTGTTCATTTTTTTTCTATTATTTTAATTGTTTTCTATTGTTTAATTGTTTTCTATATGCCACCATAGTTTACATAATATTTCACAAGAACGGCTGAATATTGATATTTTTTTTTCTCCATAAAATTCAAATTAAAGCTAAATATTGACACGGATTTGCCACAGTCACATGTACACCAAATTCTTCATGGTTCTATTTATTTAGTTATATATTCTTGTTTACAATTTTTATTCCACTATATAAATGTAGGATTAGGAAACGGACAGCCTTCCCATCTAATCCGGAATTGGCCGAACAGTATGCTACTCAACCCACCTACGACGGCGGTAATAACGTCCCTTGTTATACTAGGTAGTTATGAGGGTAAATGTTATTATTTGTGGCATCCAAAGATATTTTTTGAACAAGTCAAATCAATTTCAATCGATCCCAGAGGGACCTTAATCAGAGTCTATTATCATGGAGCCAGCAGCCTTTTACCTGTAGGTCTAACATTGCACGTTATTGCAATCACACGCTTTTTCTGCGTGTCTTTATAATGGCGTCCCTAACGGACATCTTTGCAGAAACATTGATCAATTCAGGTGTCCATTGATAGTACTTCTGCTTTTTGTTTAAAGTAACATTGTTGTCGGTGTCAGAATGCGATAGGGGCGAGCGTACTCTTATTCAACGCATATCATAAAGGAGTAGCAGTGGAAAAACACAGGGGCTGGAGAACCTATGGATAACACAGGGGTTTGTGAACCGGAACAGGAAAGTGCTGAATACACGAGTTACATATATGTTCATTTAAATATAATATATAAAATATTGAATACGATATAGGTATTTTAAATAAACATACATGTCTAAGCATTAAAAAACAACCAAAGAAACAAACACAAAAAACACAAAATCATTTTTTTTGGCGAATGAAAATGACAAAAACAAATCCGTCTTACAGGGGTCGAAGTTATACAAACAAGCTAAGCATGCATATATCATGAGATGCAAAGGTTATGACGTCATATCGTCTATTATGACGTCACAACCTTCACGTACTTTTAAGGGGGATTTAAAAATATTGCCCCATGGATTTAAACATCATTCCATTATGATATTTGATGAACCGTTCAATTG